TCATTCTTTTAAAGGTTGTGCCATGCCCCCTTCCCTCCTGTTTCATCAGCACCTCTGATGACAGAAAAAATTGTGGCAGTGTCTGGACTTCTGCTTGAAGCAGAAGAAGATGGAGTTTAGTGAACAAGTTGCTGTTAACTCTCATGTCCATTCTTAATTAACTTAGATGCTGCAAGTAGTAGAAAGAAGAGAAATTTGGGGGGCAGACCATCACAGATTTGAATCCCTAATCTATGGCCTACTAGTCTTGGAATTTGTGGCAGATGACTAAAATTATATTAGCCACAGCTTGCTCATGTGTAAATAAAAATAATCTCTAATATCTACTGAGTGCCCACTCTGTGCCCACACTCATCTAGCTTCCTTATATGTATTAACTCAATTAATTCCCAACCAATGAAAAAGTCTACAATTATCTCCCCCGTACCCAGCAGCAGCAAACTTAAGCAACTTTCCTAAGAATACACACCTTGTAAGTGGCAGAGCTGGAAGGCAGTAAGTAAGTAGTGGTTACTAATAGGTTAAAAACTTGTGGTAGGGTACTGAATAACAAATGGGACCCTAGTTTATAGCTAGCCGGTGAACCCAGGGGCAGTGCTTGTTGCAACACAACACTGTTGACTGGGACATGTAAAAAATGCATGGCACTAAAACTCCTGAGCAGCCGTTTGTTGGTAAAACAGAAGAAATGCCAGAAGGATATATGTGGCATTAGTTATTAACTGTGCAACACACTGCACTCATGAGAGACATATTATGGAAAAAAATATTAGACACTATTGGGTAGAAAGCCAAGGGAGTGATAAGACAATACCACCTATGTGTGTGCAGAAATAAGTGGCTGTTAGCAAGAGTTAACGCAAGTCTCCTGGAAAGATGGGAAGACGTGGACAAAGAGAAAGGAGAAGGGTTTATTTGACATGGAAAGCACCACAAGCAGTGTGGCAATGGAAATGAAAATGACCGTGTTTGAAAAACTGTAGGGAGTCCTGTCTGACTAAAGCAGAATCTGAGTGGGATGCTAGAAGTAGCGCAAAACATACCCCAAATAATCAGCTTTATGGGCTCATTTACACAGTTCTACAAGGAGACTTCTTACAAACCTGCTACAGTGTAAACTGGTCCTGCTGAAAAGGGTAGCATACTTGAGCAGAAACAGCAAAAAACAGAAGGACAAAAAAATCTCATAATAATACTTTATTGAGGACTATTTTGGTCAATTATTTTTGTCAGTAGTTTGCTGTAGCTACTATTCACTGAAATTCTGCTCTGAAGCCATTTCATGTATATTTACAGGAGCAAATGGTTTGTTTTATCTAGATTTTAAGTCCTTTTAATATACCTCCAAAGATATACGTTTGGAAAATAATGATGAGAAACTGTAGAGAGAACAGACTTCAGGTAAGTGGAAAATAATTTGCTGGAAAAAATTTTTTTTACTTTATTTTTTAAGAAGTGAATTAGTTGGTGAACCTATTGCAGTGTTCAACTTTATTAATCAAAAATTAATAGAAATTATTTAATAATAATTATTGTTTTATGATATCATACCAATTCTATTAATGATTATTCATAGAAATAGAAAAATAATGGAAATTAACTAATTAATAGAGTACAAATCAATAGAAAATAAAGTTTAATTAAATTTTAATTAAAATTGGAAGAATATTAAGTTTGAAGGTGCATCAAATTATTCATCTACCTAAGACACAGGTTTCTTGAGGTCTGAGTTAGAAATTCTTCCTGGAGAGGTATGAAATCAGGTGGAAAAAAAGGTTGAGGTTAAATTATGAAGTCCTTGATAAATGTCTCAGGCACCCAGATTTTATCCCATGCTCAGGACAAGACTCCTGAAGGTATCCGAGCACAGTGAGGAAAGTAATATTTAGGAGGCCCAGTGTTGCTGTCACACGTAGGAGAGACTGGAAAGAGTGCCCAGGGAGAGCATGTCTAGATCTGCGGTGGTAATTAGGTATGAGACGGAGACAGCCTAGCCCGAAAGGTGACTGGGTAAGGGTATCGAAGACAACCTGAAATACTTTGAAGAAAAATTCACACTGCTTTTTTGCCTTACCAGATAAAAGAGAAATTCAAGAAGACTCAGGTGATAAGCATGACAGAGCAGGCCAATGGTGGCACCAATGCAAAATAAAGAATTTGAGGTAGAGAGCAGCAGCTCACTGGAAGCATAAAAATGTGTTTAGGTGGAAGATTTAGACACACCAACAAGACATGGATTAAATCAGTATGTAGCTACGGAAAGGTTACATTAGAGGAGTCCATATTATGTGCTCCTAAAGGGACAGTCTGCACAAAACAAGATGGCAACAATAGTCTTCTTCATGGCACACAGTGAAGAAAAGCCCGTAGAATATACATTGTTTTTCCCCTCCTTAGGTCATTCACATATGGAGCCTAACACCAATTTCTGTCAATAAAAAATATGGAATTTCAGGGCAGAAATAGAGACACAGATGTAGAGAACAAAGATATGGACACCAAAGGGGGAAAGTGGCGGGGGGTGGTGGTGGGGGATGAACTGGGAGATTGAGATTGACATGTATACACTAATATGTATAAAATGGATAACTAATAAGAACATGCTGTATAAAAAATAAATAAAATAAAATTCAAAACTTAAAAAAAAGATGGAATTTCTAATTACTTAAGCCTAAGTAAAATATTTTTCCCTTTCACATTCACGTATGTCTTCTGAACTAAAATGAAATATCTCACATACAGCCAACTACTTTTCTTTGCTGAGCAGCAGATTTATTATTCACTTACTAAAAAAAAAACATGTTTAGCACAAAGATATGTTATATAGAAAGGTAAAACATAACACTTCTCAGATTTTCACTGATTTTTGAAAAAGACATTTCTCAACTCATAGAATTGTATAAACACAGACATGAAAAACACCAACAGCACATTTTTAAAAAATTGGCAAGCACACTTGGCCTTAATAAAAATAAAATTAAACTGCTGACTTTGGAAACACTGCATTCTGTGAGATGTGTACATGTTTCTTCTGGAAAAAAATCTACATGTCGGTTCCAAATCCCATTTATCTATAGGAGTAATTTGAATTCAATGAATATTTAAACCCAGTTGTACCAAGAGGATAAACAATAACCACAGGTATTAGGTCAGGAAGGAAGTGAGCTTTTAAGATAGATAGGCATTCTTATTTAAAACTATCTGGTCAAAAATTAACTCTAGGTGCACTCAGAGTAGTTTTATCGATTGGATTAGCAATAGCTAAAGTTAGAAGTGGTGAAATTTTCAATTGCCTTAAGTTGCTAGTACTGTCACTATCTTAAAATTTTGGGGTCCAGCTTTTTGTTCCATATAAATAAGATTCATTTCTTTCCATCTATGTAATAGCCCTTTAAAAGGTAAGAACTTAGAAGGGTAGATGAGTACGGAAAACAGTAACAAAAGGACCAATCTGTGAGATAAGTGAATAAAACATCTTAAATAGCATTCATAATTGTTTAAACGGCATTCTACCAGAGGTTTATAAAGACAGGGGTGACACAAGGGCCAAACTCCACGAACATAATATCCGTGCAGGGAGACAATAAGTTCTGTCTATGTGATTCAAATAACAGAAGAATAAAATTTCCAAGGTAAAATAAACTGCAGGTGCATCATGGTGTATGCCAAAATGCTGAGAAAACCCGGTGTCATCAAAATAGGCTCCAAAGAGAAAATGTATATGTGATTACCTTCTAAGAGGGGTGTAGGATTTGGCATAGAAACCCCAGACGAGAGAGTAGCATTAGATAACCTCAGTGAAAAGGGGCAAGCCACTCAGGAGCCAGAATAACTCAGAAAATCTAAAGAAGTGGGGCAATAGGCAAGGTGGGCAAGTTAATGGAGGACCAGGAATATAAGGCTGAGGCATCAGAGTCTGATTCAAGAGCTAGTAAGGAGCCACTATATGTTTTTAAACAGGAAAGTAGCTTCAAAAATGTTTGGATGCTGTGCCTCCATTATGTTAAAACAATCTCTTGCATTGAATGAAAATTTGATCAAGCTCATGCATGCATTGATCTGGCCTTTCACTCTGGAGGCATTATGATTGATATATAATATAGTTGATGTTTATATGATAGAAAGCCAGATTAAAAAACCTATCTGATAATTTAACAAGCTCACTTTTTAATAAGGCGTTTATAGTTGACTATGCTGAAAATGATTAAAAAGATAGTTTCCAAAAATTTATTTCCAAAGGATGAACTAAATAAATGCACATAGAGCTGTGGACTGAACTGTGTCACCAACAAATTCATATGATGAAGCTCTAACCCCTAATGTGATGGTAGTTGGAAATGGGGCCTCTGGGTGGTAATCAGGTTTAGATGAGGTCATGAGGGTGAGGCCCTCATGATGGGATTAGTGTCTTAAAAGAAGTGACACCAGAGAGCTTTTTTTCTCTTTTTCTCTCTACCATGTGAGGACACAGCAAGGAGGTCATGAGCAAAACAGGAACAGAGCCCTCATCAGGGAGCTGAATTGGTTGGTGCCTTGATTTTGGACTTCCAGACTTGAGAGCTGTGAGAAATTCCTGTTGTTTAAGTCACACAGTCTATGGTATGTTGTTATGGTAATTTGAGCTGACTAATACAGTGCCCTTACAAACAATCTAAGATATTTTACTGATCTTCTCTGTCCATGTCATCCCCTAAATTGTTCTTGGCTTTTCCTTACGTGGGTGGCAGTCATGGAGAGCATGAACTCATGTTTATTGAATGCTTAGTCAGCATCTGTTAGATGCTCTACACACATTATCTAACTTACTCCTGGTAAGAATATAGGACACAATTATCTGTGGGAAGTATTTCAGGACAATTTCTTGAATAAAAAGGGACAGAAAATGTATGCATTTTATAATCCACAATTAGGAGTCTTCTAAATAGTATATATATATAATTAATTTATATCTGGCAACCACAGTGAACAATGGAAATAAAACACTCCTTGATAGCTTTTCTCAGGGATAATCAATAATTTATTTTGCTTTTATTGTCACAATTACCACAACTATCTAGCTACATGACCAATGTCACTACATACCACAGAAAGATTGTCCACCTACACTTTACTGAGACAAAGACAACGGCCATTTATGTGTTAAATGTACAACGGCATGTTAAAAAGAGGTGGCTTTTATGTATAAGACAAGATGTGGCACATGATTTATCAACAGGTTTGACTTCATATGTATTATGCCAAGAAGCAAGCAGAGAAATGTTTTGGCATTGAGTTGTTATTAAAGTAGAAAATAAGTAAACTAGAGCAATAAATCCAGATCTACAATAGATACATTAAAATAGGAAATTAATTAGCTCCTCAGTATTTTTGTTCATTTTTTTTTGTTTTCTTTCCTTTTGTTTGTTTTTATATATAAATGAGTAATACGAATATATCACAAGTTAAAGAAAAATCTCAGCCAAAAAGAAGGTACAAGTATATGAAAAACAAATGAAAAATTAGCAGGTATTTTTGCTTACAAAAAATTTAAACTATAAAGAGTCACAAAATATATATAAAAACGCCACATTGAACGAGGCAAGCATCCTCTACCCAAACTGGTAGCACCCTCTGAAAGTCAGCTGCCTTCCATCCATTCGGTCATACCGCGGTGACTGACAAAAAGGCATTAGGAACTTGTGTGCCATCAGGGGACTTGGCCCCATGGGTCATCAGTTCTTGGATTGTCATCCAGTTGTCCAAAATTTTCTTGTTTCTCTTCTTCATCATCTTTTTGTGACTCAGTTCAATGATGTTGACCTCCTTCTTGCCCTCGCTGCCGCTCTGGGGACTCTCCTTGAGACACTCCAACCGGCTCCGCATCATGAACTCTCGGCGGCGCCGCTGCTCTTTGGCCCGCACCAGGTGTTGCTTCCTCTCCTCTTTGCTCCAGTAGCGCCCCATTTTCATCTCACTCATGGTGTCATCGTCCGTCGTCATGCCACTCCGCTCCTCCTTGATCTTTAAGGCACGCTCCTTCAGAATGCGGTCCCTCACGGGTCTCTTGGTGATGTACCGTGTCCCGTCACTCCTGATTTTCACCTTCCATTCCATCTTGGGTTCTGAGCACTTCTGAGACTCCTTGCACACGCTCACCAAGCTGAGCTGGCTCTGAGCGTACTCGACTGCGGACTTCTGTTGAATTAACTGCATGTAACTTTGATAATGCCGGGCATGTGCTGGGATGTTTGCATATCTATAGGAGGAGCTGTGGTAAGGAGACAGGTAAGGGATGTGTTCACCACTGGTCTTCTCTGGATCAGAAAGCTTGCTGCTTTCTGAAGTCTTCTCTTTGCCTTCAATGCCGCAACCTTGTTCAGTGGTTTTGGCTTTGGTTGACTCTTTACTACTCTGTCCAGAAGAGGACTGATTGGCTGCCATTGTGCTTCTCAGGTTTTTCTTATTGGTGAGGTTGATCACTCTTGGGAGGGAACTGTCAGGGGAACGGTCCACAGTGAGTGGAGTGCTTCTGCAGCTTTCAGCTGTGTTGTAAGCACTAGAACTGTCTTTGTCTGACTTTTCTGGGTGTTCAAGGATGTCATCTAGTTTTCCCCTCTGCGTATCTATGCTGGTGTTATAATTTCGGAATCCTCCCTCATGCAGTGCCCAGATGTCTCCATACTGGTCTGTCACTTTCCGGAGCCTGTGAGCCTGCATGATATTTTGGCACTCAAGTTCAATGTTTCTTAGTTCTTCATTAAGCAACTGTAGTTCGTGCTCCACTCCCTCTCGTCCCCCTTGATTGCATTCTATTGTGCTGCTTGAGTAATACAGGTCATACTCTCCATGCTTCCGAATCTTGCATTTGAGCTCCAAGAGCTGCCGAAACCTTTCGCACTCCTCATCTTGGTTGCCAGTACAGTCTGAGTCAATGTATTCACCAGACACGAAGCTCTCATTACACTGAAGTTCAGTGCTTCCCAGAGTGTCTTGGCTCTGCCCCAGCTCTCTCTTGCTCTTCAAAGATGTGCCATTGGGATCCTCGGCTGCATTCTCCTGCTCTGAGCTCTCGTCGTTCCGCAAGCTTTCATCTGTGCGCCCCACTCCACTGTCCTTCTCATGGTTGTTGGATGAGGATGTTGCCGTGTCTGTTGTGCCTTCTTCTTCTTCTTGTTTTTTTGGCTAAGAAAATAAAGTTGAGAGAAGAAAGAAAGCTAATTATTTTGAAAAACACCAAGTGTTGGAAAACTTGCTTGAAAAAACAGTGCTTCTTGGCAAAAGTGCAGTTCCTAGAAAGCTGCCCTCATTTTAGTATCCATAACAATTTTAGAAATAAAGGCAATTAGCTCATGGCAGCTTTTTATGCTTGAATATAAAGAAAACAAAAGCTGCTTGAATATGGCTATGCTACTCACTTGAGGATAAATAAAACAGGACACATTTAAATAAGTGATTCTTGTCTTAAGGTTTTCTCTTAGTTGGGAAACTGGAGGGAAGGTGTGTAAATGAGGTGACTTTATGAGTTTCTGTGGTGAGTAAAAGGATGAGTAAGACAGAGTGCCGAAATGTCCAATATCAATATCAATATAGTCTTCAGAAATAGGAAGGCCTAGAGTTCAGAAGCCACATCATCTTGTTACTATTTTCTTTTTCCTGAACTTTTCTCAAGTTCAGAGGAGACTTCATTGGATCTAGTGATACACTGATAATGATAAACCAAACATCACAAAATTTCAGGAATAGGTTCATTACTGGAGCCGAGGACCTTCCATCTATAGATGAGGAAACTTAATCCCAGATGGATGTAGCTTCTTAGGCTAGAGGTCTAGGGGGCCAATGCCATCCCCCAGGGCCAGGATTTCTTACATGTCCAAGATGCTGTATTCTTGCATACATGTACTTTGACCTCAGTGCATCTCCAAATCACATTGCTCAAAAGCAACAGTAATGTCTTTGGACTCACTTGGGTTACTTTAAAAGATTTTTCTACTCTTAACCAGTAATTTCCTTCAGAGGTGAGTTTTATTCTACTGAGAGTAAAATGACGGTTCCCCTGAAAATCTGAGCAGCACTGATTGCCAGACATGGGCATAATGTCAAAAAACATATTTTGAGATAGGTATGTAAATATATGTGAACTTCACTCCCTGGTAATTTTTGGCTTTTCATGTAGAACAATTAACTGTCACTGCCCTAGGGAAGTGCACATCTAATTGTTTCTCTGTGAATAGGATAAAGTTACTCTTTCTTCCACCACTTCTCTTATAAAAGTCTACATGGCAGTTTCTAGATTGTATTCTCCTTATGTCTAAGTTTACTTACTATTATATATATATATATATATTTATATTTTTTTCCCTTTAGCAGGAAATTATATAATTAAATATAATCAAGCTTGTTAGTGTCAAAGAAGGACAGAATGGGTGATAAAAGGTAAAACAGGTCTGGAAGGTTAAGATAATTGTTGTTTTCTTCCACCTAAGTAATGGCAGAACAAAGTGTAATGAACGGAGGGGAGAATATGAACACGTATCAGGTTATTCTAGGATTCTCCATCTTTCCCTAAAATATTTTTCCTCATTTTTTAAGAACATACTGAGATTGATTTAAAATGTCTTATTGATAAAAAATATTATACCTAAGTAACTGTAACTAACAATGGAAAGCTTGATACATCCCTATGTCCCTTGCTATAAGGTGACAACAGCATCAAATGTGGTGACATCTGCACAGTGTGCCATAAAACTCCCAGAGGATATTATTGATATTGAACATTTGAGTTTATATACCATATAACTTACATTTATATTTTTTCTCCTATCTAATGGTAAGCTGAAAAAATACAGGAAGGCAGTATTTTTTCTTATTTTTCATGCAATAAATGATACAGACAAATTAATTAGCAAAATGTGTGTTAACAACAGTTACAGGACCAAGGACAGCATGTGAAGTAAACCTTCAGATGGATATGTATTTTAGTTTTTAAATATGGATACGCAATTTTAAATTGAATTGCCCTTTCTTTTGTCACTGGTTTATGAGCACATGTGAAAACAGTTTTCTATTCTCAAACCTAGAATTCCTGGTTTCTGATATAATGCTACTCTATAACTTATCACTTCCCTATGGAATTATTATAGTGACAGGCAATGCTTCTACCAAGGCACTTCTAATGTAGTATTATTATTTATAAGGGCAAAGGACTTTTAAAGGTTTCTGTACTTCTCATCATTTTTCAGTCTCATGGTGAAGAGAAATTTCTATACAATGAAAATCTCACCTCAGGGACATCTTGTGTTACCTCAAAAGACCTAGCATTTGTATTACATCTGATGAGTAGGCAGCATCTGACACCATATCACTTCACCTGGACAGGATTTCTCCCTTCTTTCTTTATTCCAACATCCTCCTGTCAATTTTGTATCAGGTCACATTTTTTATCTAAGAGAGAAAAAGCCTGGAGCAAGGACTTTCTTGCTTGTAACCAGCAGCTGCCACCAAAAATATCTTTATTTGTGGCCAGTGTTGAAGTCATACATTAAAATTTCAACCTGTCCTCTTTATATTGAAAAGCAATTGCTACAGTAGCAGCATTGCTTTTGAGCATGAACTCTTGTTTGTGAAGTGGCCACTGAGCATCCATGGTGAGCACAGAGTGTAGCACACATGGCTCTGTCAACTGTAGTTTGCAACCTAATAATTTATTAGCGTATACACATGAGCACGCATGCACAGACACACACACGCACACACACACACCTCTGTTATGGGATGCCAGCATGTCAGTGCATCTCATCATTCAGTTTGGCAAAGTGATAGGATGTTTGTGTTTTATATTCCTAAGCCTAACTGCCAGGATTTTTTTTTAATTACCTTTTAGGGTGAGTTAAGGATTAATGTTGAGAATAGGATGATAATTAAACAAATAAGCAGATTGACAGCAGAAGTGTTAATAAAATTATATTAGGCAAATGAATGACATGAATCTGACATAAAAAATCTAGGCTATATCGATCTTGATTTTATCTAGTAGAAAAACAACAAAAATGAAAAGAATACTAAGACTCGGTTTGCCACAAACCACACTGTGATCTTTCACTAGTTACGAATTACTTAAAGGCAGGAACTTTGCTCATTTTCTTTGTATTCTCAGGATCAAACATGGTACTTGAAACATATTAGGGGCTGAGAATTTTTTGTTGAATGAATATATGACCTTAAGACAAAATGATATCAATAATCGCAAGTTGAACTACTCTTAATTCAGGAGTATAAAGGTGTAATCACGATACCAAATACCCAAATAAGGTTGATGGCTTACATCATGTCATCATCTTCCTAAAGTTGCCTAAATATTCAAATACATGCATTAATATTTTAAAATACAAAATTACTTTTTTGCGGGGGAGGGGTTACCTCATGAGATATAGTTTATCTCTAGCTGGTATACTGAGAAGCAACATGCATTTTTTACTATTAAATTTCCGAATTAGGTTGAACAGTGCCTGGGTCAGCATTTGAATACTACTGTACTCTCCACAATGGCCCCTCAGCTTCCCAAAGTAGAAGTATTCTTAATAGAAAAAAATTGTATTTATTCCCTCTGCTTCATTTGAGATGATCATTTGCTTTCAAAAATTACCATCACAGAGATGTTTGGTCAAACTCTTTGCTTTTTGTTTTTTTATTCCATTTATGGTTACACATTTAAAAAAGAACTAGGATCATTTCAAATGCTGGAGTTCAGATCGTGGCCCTACCTGCTCCACCTGACTGGCAGTGCGCTGCATTGCTTCATTATGCTGTTCCTCCAACATCGATAAGTTTAACTCCTCTAAATATTCATTCCTTTCATCTTCTAGCCAACCTTCCTCCAGCTGCAAAAGAATACATTAGTACATTACATTCAGTTAATGAGAACTCAAGCTAAAATAGGGTAAACTTAAATGGTGACGCCTGACCGGTTCCTTTTATCATAATGATTCTCTTCAAAATACCAGCCTCCTATAGTTCACCTCTCAGAAGGAAGAAAAGGTGATAAAAAAAAAATTGGACTCATGCCTTTTATCCTTCCCTGAAACAGAGCTACAGATTTTCTCTCATAACTGAGTAGACCTCAGCACAGAACATCACCGCCTTTCAAAGTGTATGAAAAGCGTACTGCATAATCCACAGCTGTCATGCTCGTTACCCGCAACAGTCCCCGTGTTAAAGAACAGCAATGGTCCTAATAGGGCTATGAGACAATTGGGCCTTTTTCCTTAACAAAAACCCCCAAAGCAACTCCACACAAAGCACCCCCCACCAACACACACACACACACACACACATGCACTGATGCCACCCTCATTTTGCTTTTTTATTTTTAGATGGCTGGCTTTCAAGTTAACAAGATGGCTGCTTGCCACAAATACGGACAACATTTATTTCATCTGAAAAAAAAAAAAAAAGGAAAATTCTAAGTTACTCTCAATAAAGAGTGATGCTGTGCCGTGACTACTGTGATTCATTTCTCAGACCCAATTCCAAGGAAAAAGACCTTGAATGTGCACGTAAGGGTGAGGGAGCCGTGCGCAGGGTTTTCTTTGTGGGTGCTGAAGGTAGGTATTCTTGTGGCAGTCTTACACAAACTAAACCAAACAAATCCTTTTGGCTTCTCAATACAAAAGGAAGTGGAAAACTGGTGGTTACCTTGCTAATATGATAAGTGTTGACAGTCAATTCAGATAATTTGCCTCAAAGTGGGTTTTTGGAGCTGGATTACATAAATTAACTGTCTATGCTGATTGAATTAACTGAATTATTGTCAAAGCTCCCCTTTACTCTGTGTTACAAAGAAACAGCAGCTTTCTAGTGAGTCAAAATTGACAACAGTGGGAGATGTTTTCACCACCGGACGAATGGGTAAGCACCAAACAAACACAAAAAATAAGCTTGTCTTTAAGAGAACTAAACTTCTAAAACTTAAAAACAAACGAACCTGAGAGGACATTAAATTGCACCAGAAGAGGCATTAGTGTATACGTATCACATTCATTAAATGAAGGCAATCATAGGTTTCTTTTTATTTACTAAAGGCTACCTAGACCTTAAATTATTTCAAACTTGACTGGGCCAAAAGCATCAATGCATTTATGCATCCTCATTTATCTCACGGTGGCCTGAATAACTTGACCAAGTTCCACTCCGGTGACTTTGATATACAGATGAGCTATGAAGATTAAACTGACTAAGAATTTAAATTCAGTCCAATTCATAATTGTCCAAGTTTTACATTTTTTAATCCCTTTTAAGTTTCATCAAGCTGCAAATGCCAGGGTCCAAAAGAAATTACTTAAAGCTAGAAAAGTTTATTTTTTATAAGCACAGCAAGGACTTTTTCTTTAATCAGGTCAAAACAAAATATCTGCCAACACTGATACAGTGAATGATGGAACAGAGTCTTTTGAAATTGAAATGAAGGGATGGAGAAGACAAAGAGAACACATGCTGGAAATTAATGCTTTCCTATAACTCTTTTCTTATTAACTGACCCCACAGATCCCTGAGTTGCCATGTGTAGTTAGTGTATGTCTACTTTGATTAAGACTTCCCTCTAGGCTGGAGGAATTCACAGCACACTAAGTCAGGAGAGATTCTTCTGGCTCACCTCCCTTCCCTGTAGCATTTCCCTTCCCCCTACACACACATTCATGGCAGTCTGAGTTCAGTGCTGTGGCAGAGACAGACTTTTCCCTCGAGTTGAGTCATGGGAAAGGGGGGACTGTCATAATTATACAGGGGGATCTGTCTGCACAGTAGAGGCTCACACGTGGCATTTCCAAGAAAGAAACAACCTGCACTTGTCTCAAAAGTTCTCTACAGTTCTTACAAGAGTCCTCTCTGCCCCAATGTCCCAAGGGGAATAGGACAAAATAGCAATATCTTTAATGGTCTGAGGAAGAAAATGGGCAGAAAATCAAAGTAAGTTGACAGGGAATGAAAGAAATGAGTTATTTAAAAATATTGCACGGTTGCACAATACTGCCTCCAGCAACTCTGGTCATTTCCGAGAATGTAGAGAGAATTTGAAACATTTAAAAAAAAAAAAAAAAGAAAAGACTAGAAAAAGCACACTAAAACTTCTATACTCTCCCTAAATAAAATACACATGCAAAAAATGCAATAATGAGATATACTGAAACTGATGGGAAAATATGGTGATATAAATACAAGTTTTGCGTTGTTTTTGCCACCTTATAACATGTATTGCTTAAATTACATTTTTAAATTATGATATTAAAATGCATTTTCTTTCCTTATTTTTCTAGAAATCTGATTTTCTAAAGACAATTAGCTGCCTTCCAGTGTCATGACAGCTTCTTTAGGATCAAGGGGCTAGGGCAGATCTTGATTTTGACAGACAGGATGATATGCTACAGAGTCAGACAACCATCTTTTATCAACTGTGGAAAGAAAGTCTTGTTTGAAAATTCATCCTCCAACATTGACTCTTGGGTCAGGAGTGTAACCAGATATTCAAAAACGCCAGTGGTTCTACCAAGCATATGTATGCCATTAAAGATTAACAGGATCTGGTTTTATGTTATTAATTTCTATTTTTTCCACAGTATGTTATAGCTGTTATGTGGCATAATAAAGAAAATGCTTTAATTATAAATAAATGAGGTTCTCTAGCAGTTACATGGAAAGGGCAGGGAAACCACATTATAAAGTTGAAATATCTTTTCTACAACAAGGATAACTATTGAGTACTCGTCAATTTACCATTAATTTCACTAATATGTATTTAGCCCCTTTATTCTGTTACTGTTCAAGAAAATGGGATCATTGAGATTAACCAGTTTGCAAAATTTCCAGGTAATTAGTGCAATTTCATATGTATTTTAATAATTCACTCCCACATAGCACAGCCAGTTGTGCGGTTTCCTTTCCCACTCCTAGGACCTCAGGTGTGTAACTTTAGTCTGCCCTAGGCTATAGCAGGCTTTATGGGAACCATTCAGAATGGTCAAGGGCATAATGGAAATATATGTGGAAAGGGTCATCTTTTAAAACCACTATATTCAAGACAGGATTCGGTCTGACCCTGAAATACGCTTACTCAATGTAATTTATAGATAGTATGTAGTTATTGAGTCTGAAATATATCAGATCAATAACCTGAAAGACAAATGGTGATATAACCAACTTCACTCACTGAAGTTGGTTATCCAGCACTGACAGATGGATAGAATGGTGACAATGTAATGTCCTTTCTGCATTGTGGTGGGGGATAAAAAGGATATAAAAAGAAGTACCAATAGTACTTTTCTTCCACCATTACCTCTCCTTTACTTTCATGACATCTCCCTCTGTAAAGATATAAAAAAATTCCTTAAAAGCTATCAATTTGTTTTTGTCACACTAAAGTTGGAAAAAATTCATTTACTATACATGGAACTACACTGTACTACTTAAGGTATTTTATTGGATAAAGTTACTCTAAAAAGATTTAAGTTGATAGCTAGATATGCTAATGTTTCTCTCATTAGAGATTCTTTCAAGATACCTTAATATGCCAATTAAGTATTTTTAGATGAAAAACTAAAGCAAGGATCCACACAGAATTAAATATCACATAAAGTCAATCATTTTTCATTTATGAATTAATTTAAATAACTGGCAAGTGGAAGGAGAGAGTAATGATTCAATTTTGTGTTTTCAAAAAAATAAGATGTTTAGCTGCCTTTCTGTGAAGCCATATTAAGGAGTCTTTACTTATAATTGTTTTGATAAGGTTGGCCAGTTGGGAAAGATGACTCAATTATATTTTGTATGCCTGGTTTTACAAACATCCATGGCACTGATCTGTTATAGAATAGCAGACAATGAACCTAAAGTGCAGTCTCAAGACTTTTGCTCTCTCTGTTCTGACCTGACTCTCCGGCCTTGCGACCAGCAGCACGATTCTCCGGCACTCATCACTAGATAGCAGGGCCACCGCCGCCTCTCGATCCTGGGCGTCTTCCCCATTTATCTAGAAAACAGATGAAAGTGGCGCATTAGTTTCCATTTCCACAATGCTGCACACAATAAATGGCAAATATCAGCTCATTTATGGTAAATGTATGGACAATGAAGCTCACACAATGGGCTCGTCTTCAGCCCCTCAGTGGTAAGTGCCTTCACTCAATTACGCGCTTACTGTAAGAGCCGTATCGATCCCTGAAGGATGGCGGACATCAGAGGAAGCAGTTATGTTCATAAATGTCCAACCTGCGCCCTGGCAACATACATCTAGCAACACAATTAACCAGCCCCTGACAGGTGACGTTCATCTTTCTCCGCTCAGAGTAATGGAAGTGTCACTCTGAGATAATGGTGCTGGGGGAAGTAGGACCAGCAATACCACAACTGAAATCCGTCATCCTGCACGCTTGCTGTGAGCCAATTAGCGAGCTGCCGCGTTCTCTCTCACCGGGCGATGCTCCCGGGCTGCTGTTGCTTGCATTTTCATTTAATCATTTCGTATTTGCGTGTGGGTCTGACTCAGTTGCCCCAAATCACTCTCGGGATATCTTTCAGTGCTTAACTAATCAAACGAAGAACCAGTATCATTGTCATCTACTCCAGCTCCTTTCTCGGATCTATCCGCTTCCCTAAAACAACAAAACTAATGAAATATCCTAAGGCTCATCTCTTAAGTATACTTAAATAAAATTTTTAAAAATTAACATAAAATAAGAAAAAAAAATTTAAATAAGGATGCTTACTGAAAGAAGCCAAGCTTGAGTAAACTTTCGATTAAAACAAAAGATTCTAGCGGTGTTTGAAATGCACCTTTTTCTTTTTTCTAAGTTCTACAGGGCAAATAAGGTTCCTAAAGTTTGTATTTTAAACTACATTTCATGTTCAAATGTATTTAGCTCTTATTGATACACTTTTTTTCTTTGGCTATTTTAAATTTCTTTTATTTTATTGATTGCTCAATTCCATAGAGATGAGATTTTTGATCCATAACACATAATCAAAAATGTGGGAAGAAATTTCAATTGAAGAGGTCAAGTAATTCTGTCTAAAATAAGTATTTATTTCAGAAAGTGTGGCTGCATTGACCATTTTTTTTCAATAATTAATTTAACATCTTTCACTGAGAATTTCTGCTTAAAAGCATGAAGTAGACTCCTGACATTTTCTCCTTGTGGGTCTCTGGGATTCTGGCTGATTCATGAAGACAGACATAATTATCTGAAGACAAGCTCAGGAATCTCAACTGTGGACCACAATAAATGATTATTATTCCTAGACTCATATGTAGCACAAAAGAAAGCAGACAGTGATAGTCAAAGCGGGGGGGGGGGGGGGAAATCATACAACCTCATGCTGTATTTTCTTACTGTGATCAAATGAATAGCTCCTTAGTTTTTCACTTGTATGTGTGGACAGGAAATTCAGCTTTTATAAATACATTCCCCCCCTTTTTTTTTTTTTTTTGGCAATTCTCAAATAAAATTCACCAAATTAGAAAATGAAAACTTTGATTCCAAACTGGGGACTAATGACCAAGAAGGATGTGTTGTGGGTTTTTTTTTTTTTTTTCGGTAAATATGTATCTGAAAATTTTGTACTGAGTCCAAGCCCTTTTTTTCTTCAAATAAACATAAATTGGCAGTGATGGATTCCACTACACCTCCCCCACCTCAATTGCGTGTAGTTTAAAAATAATGATTTCTTTCAGTTTTGAGGGCTTTTATCCATTTCATAGTAATTCTTAGTAGTATATCTGTGATGCATCTATTTGTCTATCAATTATGGACCTAATCATTCATCTTCCCTCCATTGTAGGCATTGATCCTAAGGAGACTGAGTTGGATGATCTCACACAACTTAACCTTTTCTGTTTGAAATACAATTCTCACTACTACTTTTTCACTTGAGTATATGCATACTTCCAAATTCTTCATCTAAACTTTACTTACCATTAGTCTAAACACTCTTCAGTCATGATAATGTTATTGTTCATTTCCTCTATTAAAATGCAGATTATAGTGTCTTTCTCAGAGGACTGTTATAGGATTGAAAGAGTTAATATATGGGAACAGTTTAAATAAGTGCCTGTTATACAAAAAGTGCTCAAGCTTGCACATATTACTGTTAATGCTATTGTTATTATTATTACTATGATTATTTATATTTTAATCCCTCAGAAAGACTCTTTTCTTCTAAACAAAGCACATATATTAAAATTCATGTGGGTAGTGGTGGTGGTGGGATGAACTGGGAGATTGGGATTGACATGGACACTAATATGTATAAAATGGATAACTAATAAGAACCTGTTGTATAAAAAATAAAATAAAATTCAAAAAAAAATAGAATAAAATTCATGCATAACATTGAAATCCATAGCAGGAAACATGGTTCTAGTTTAAAAGATATCTATCTCATATATATTTTTAATTTTTAGAGGGCCATCAAGAAACAATATGGCTGCATTTGATTTCCTTTATAGTTGGTGTTCTTCTCTCTCCTCTGTGAACTCATACTGACGAAAGCCATGGTCTCCAGTCCTGGCATTATGTTCTTATTTTGGGAGGACAGATCATACATTGTAGAAACAGTTTTACATCCAGAATCATATGTGGAATGAAAGAAATCTGTCACAGAAAACTGGCATTAAAATGTAATCTTTATTTATTTTTCAAAATAAAGGCCACATTAGCCACTTGGTTGGTAGATCCCATTGCACTCGGGACATTAGTTTGATACCCAGATTGATACTGAGGCAAAAAATGCAGCCATAGGTTTCATCAAAGATGCCTTTCAAGGAATGACAAGACTTGAGGAATGGAATCAGAGAGACCTTTCCACCTTCATTTGCTCTTGTTGCTGAATGATGGCTCATAGCTACAGGATTGCTTGTGGGAAAGCAGCTTGCTGAGTCTGGAAACATCATGCAGACGGAAAGGTGAAGGACCCAGAAACAAGGGGAGAGCATAGATGAGAACTGGAGTCAGCACAATTTAATGGAAGACTTCCATTTCAAGAAAAGAGAGGGAAAGAGAGCAAGGAGGAACGTAATATTTAACCTTTGTTATCAATGAGGAAAAACTGCTAGATAATATACCTGTCTCATTTTCTGTGCATGGTATATGCAAATATTAGTTTCAAAATGTATATTATCTTGGTTTAGGAGAGATTTGTGGCAATTACAAAGAGAAATCAGCCGAAATTCCACTTTAGGCCTAATCTCCTGTACGGGCATATGAGTGTGTGTGTTTGTGTGTGTGTGTGTGTGTGTGTAAAACCCTAAAAGTCTAGAAATATATTTATATAGCCTTTTTTGCTTAAATATGCCAATTTTTAGGTTTCCTGTACCAGTGTACCATAGGCAGGTAGGCAACTACACTTCTTGGCATTCAACCACTTATAGAATTTCTTATTTGAAAACCCAGGAATCTTAGGCAAGAGAAAAAAATTTTATTTCAAATGTGCTTATATTTTAGTGTGGAGAGAAAGAAGGTGAGTGAAGAATAGAAATACAGAGGTGAAAAGAACAGAAATAGGGGGAAAACTGTTATCCAAAGGGAAGAAAGTAAGAGTAGGAAGAAACGGTAAGGACAAGTTTAAGGCAGAGAAAGAAAGAGAGCTGATTAGAAGTCTTATTGTTCCACTGTTGGAGCTTTTGCAGGGTTTTGTCAGGAATAATCCTTAGAAACATGACTGACTTTTCTGGCCAACATGAGATTAGATTGCTTACATGGAATAGTATATGCCAAAGACAACGTGAGACTAGAGCACTCTTTACTTTAGATGGCTGATCATGTATGTCTTTAATTTTTCTCCTGACTCAGCACGGCAATTTTGTAAAAGAACTTCCCCATATTAATTCCTGGGAACACATCTGATACCAGCAGTTTGTGGCAAAAGCACAGCAAATAGAACTGTCAAGCACTTGCAGAGAAAAAACACATGAGAGCTAGAATGTGTTCTCACGAAGGTGGGTCATGGTTTCTCTTCTGCATGACCCCTACCTTCTAACAATATCGTGTGATTACCTGTGTGTGTGGTGCCATTAGGTGAGGTTCTCTGACAGGACCGTGGAGCACCACAGTTAGAAAATTTTAGCTACACAATGAAGGCAGGACCATAGAAATACTCTACGTAGGTCACTGTGAACAGGAAATTAAAATCACGATTGCTCTAATGAGATTCATTTAAATGAAAGCCAGCCAGGAAACTTAAAGGATGAGAAGAAATCCTCTCTTTCGCCCACTCTCATCTCCTTGGGAAAGGAGTCATTAATTGTTCATTACAGGGTATCCCATAATCTCCTTACCAGCCACACGGGAGCTATTTGTCTATCGGTACAATTTTGTCACAGTTTTCTTTTATATAATTTTACTATCACCCTCAAGATTCTTTGTTTCCTGTGTGTGCAGATAGAATTGAATTCTAGGCTTTTTAATGTGACAGGTATTTATTCATTAGATGTGACATATTTGTCACTAAACATAAACTAATCAGGCAAACCACAGCACTTTATCAATCCTGCTGTTGTTTTTTCAATGAATCAAGTCCATTAAGGAATGCCTTATTATCCAGAAAATATCTTATCTGAAAACTTTACCTGCCCACGATAGAGCCAAGAATAAGGAAGTGTCAAAATACACAGTATGCATCTGTGGAAACACATGTACTTTATTTCTATCAAACTCTACCCACAGAACTAATAGACACCATTTTACTAACTGTATTTGTGTATCTAGCCTATGGGAGGTGGTGACCTGGAAACTAGGAAGGGAGCCAGTGAGTGCACAGTAGTGGGTATGGGGCGTGGTGAGTAGATGGTGAGAGGAAGAAGTGACAGCTGGAAACAGCAAGGGGAAAATGACAAAACATAGACCCAGTGCATCAGAAAAAGTAGCCAGCTAGGGTCATTTAATATCAGGGCACACAATCTTACAGATCTTTCAGCCATTGAGCATTTTACTCTATTATATATAGCATTGCATGATGATTGCTGGGTGTGACGTGACCCTGAGCATCAAAGGAAGGTTACATTCTTTTCAGTATATTTAATTGGAGATGTTAACAAAGTAAACAACACATTTAAAATGATTTCTAAATCAAAAACTCAATGAAATAGTTTTGAAGCTTTCATTATCTGGATGACACACGAAGATGGTACCACTTTTTATTAACGAGGATGTATAAGTAAAGCTTTACTGCAGATTTTATTCTTCCATTTATCCTATCACTCTCTCTACTGAATACCTGTGTTTCATTCACTCGTTTACTCACACAAGTGTGAGAAAAACATTGAAAGTATGGTAGCAAGTCTTGGTTTCTTGATTCACTTTTCCTGCCCCTGAGTTATCCAGTGATAGACACATCCCATTTTGTTTAACTACAGGTCATCACTTAGGGAGCTCATTAAAGTAGGAATTATGTATTCTTCAAGTTTTCTGAAGACTAGTGGGACCATAACCTCTAATTCATACTTTTATTCTTTCCTCATTGGAGCCTTAGTAGAGGGTCCTTGATGAAAAAGGAGTTCTGTGGCCTCTCGCTAGAGAAGGGAAGGGGTATGGAGAAGCGGTGTGATTCAGTGAGTACCCCCCCTAAAGAAAGGAAAGAAGACCAGCAGAAGTCTGGGCAGAATAGCCCTCGTGTGGTACAACTTTCTCATGACAACGTCGCATTGTACTGTAATCATCTGTGTAAGCAGCTGTCTTCCTAAATACACAGGGAATGCCCCAAAGGCTGCCATGGCATCTTGTCTATTTTTAAAGCCCTGCTTCCAGGTAGAGTGTTGAATCCAAATGTATTAAATTGAAAGAAACATTCGTTAGGGGTTCATATCTAGGAAGGAGAAATGGGAACAACAGATCTGTCATAACAATTAAAACTTTTGCAGAATGTTTTAACAGTTTGTAACTTCTTCAATTTGTCATTTGAGTCCTCCTTCCTGTCTTGCAGTTGTTATCTGCAGTGAAACTCAACCCCCAAGGACCTCTGTTCTTATTTTGGGTTAAACTGGACATAAGAGCTGGGACGCTGTGTGTCTTCCTCCAGCCACCCTTTATGAGAAAGGACTCAGAAGGGATAGCGCAGGTCAAGGGAGATTTAGGACAGAAACTTTGGCTTTTGCAGTTTTTCCTGGTTGGGCCGGGAACTCTTTCCAGTCTACACACCCCCTATAAGGTGCTTACCATCTCTATTTTTTTTTTTTTTTTTTTTGCAGTACGCGGGCCTCTCACTCCTGTGGCCTCTCCCGCCGCGGAGCACAGGCTCCGGACGCGCAGGCTCAGCGGCCATGGCTCACGGGTCCAGCCGCTCCGCGGCATGTGGGATCTTCCCGGACCGGGGCACGAACCCGTGTCCCCTGCATCGGCAGGCGGACTCTCAACCACTGCGCCACCAGGGAAGCCCACCATCTCTATTTTTAAACTGAAATTCAGTCAGCCTCTATGTTTTCACATTCCGTCCTCCACATGCCCCCAGCAACTCATTTATAAATAATTAAGACTTCTTCAGACTTCTAAACTTTCATAGTAATGGAACACTGGGATCCCTGTTTACCTAATTTATTGTGGAAAAGGCAGCAATAACTGCTGCTGATGCTAGTAACAACAGCAGTTAATGCTTATTACTCACCATGCACTGTGTGCTAAGCACATCACATGCTTAATCATATCTAATCTTTGCAGCAATATATTTTACTATTACCATTCTTTAAGATGAGGAAACAGGCTTACAATGAGAGGTTAAGTAAAGTGCCCAAGTAAGTGATGGAGCTGGAAGCTGAAGTTGAGGTATCTGAGTCCAGAGATTATGTCTTACTCACTAATTATTAGCTAATAATCCTTATTAAACGGCAGTATCCTTATTTTTAAAAAGGTTTAAATGATCACTTTTAGTTTTGTAGATGTTACTATCCAGAAACAAACACAAATTATTTTCTCTAACATTTTTCAAGGAACAAAATAAAATTAAAACTATTGGACAGATAGTAGGAAATTAAAGGAAATAACCACCCCACATACTTGCAAAATACGATCCCCTTCTCGAATCCGGCCATCTTTGGCAGCAATGCTGTTTGGATCTACCTGTAAGGAAGAGGACACACAGCTTCAACTGGATATGCAATATCCTCCCAGGAACTTAAAAATATGGTTTTAAAAAATATTTTTAAAAACATATTTCAAGTTTTTCTATTGATTTATAGAGTGCATGCCAAATTTTTCTTCTGTCAACTGATTCTAAAAATGTAAATGAACTATTTTAGAATTAATTACAATAAAATTAAAGAGTACTAGAGCATGTTAAAAAAAAAATTCACAGGAATAAAAATAGCCACCTCCCAACAAGGCAAAATTCACGATGTTTGGCATCCAGTCAAGGATTACTAGACATACAAAGAAGCAGGAAAATATGACCCTTGATGAGGATTGAATCAATAAAAGAAAACTAAACTAGAACTTACACAGCTGTCAGATTAGCAGTCAATGACATTAAAAGAGTTATTATAGGAGATATGGGGATATATGTATATGTATATCTGATTCACTTTGCTATAAAGCAGAAACGAACATACCATTGTAAAGCAATTATACTCCAATAAAGATGTTTTTTTTTTAAAAAAAAAGAGTACTAGAGCACATCTTGATTTGTGGACCACTTTTCTCTCCCTGCCTCTCTTTGTTTCTTCCTTCCTTTTATCCTTTCTCCCCTTTTTATTTTATTTTATTTATTTATTTTTATATCTGTTCACTCATTTCTGTATCCCAACTGTCAGACATGGTCTTCAGCTGACATGATCCTCAGCTGATGTTAATACTAGGACCCAGGAAATTTACTTTCTGCTAGGGTGATTTTTAAATCCTGTCTTAGCTGTCTGAGAAAACCTGATAGCTATACCCTAAGTCCAAACTTATTAAAGGGATTTCTGTGTTATGAGCACATTAAGTTATAAAGAGATTTATAATCTATGTAGCTCAAGAAATGAAAAAAATCCTATCCATGTAGATTATTACTAGACACTACTTTACATATAAGGTGAAGTATATTAACTGTCACTTATTTTAGAATAAATAGATATTTAAAGCTCTATTAATAGTTTATCAACATTTTAATGGGCCAAACTTGAGTGATGACTTACTGTTCACTGGGGGTAATTCCATCTATCACATTTCACATGAAGGCTTCAAACAATTTATTGGAGCTTATTCTAGCAAAGCCTTTTTTTTTTTTTTTTCCTTTTTAAAGCAAAGTATTTCAAGTGTAAGGTAAGGTTGATCCATCCTATCCAGATGTTAGATATTACTTTTTAATTAGGTGGTGCCAGCCAATAAATGAGTTTTAAGTGATCAATCAAGAACAAAAGACACTATAATTACATGTAAGATGTATAGGGAAACATTTTTTCCAAGTAATTTTGTTCTGTTCCTGTGGCTTTTTTATTATCCCTGAAAAGTAAAATTCCAAAGTTGACATGTTTAAATAGTAAACAGAGACTCACTTGAAGGAAATAAGGGATGATTAATCAATTGTATCCTATTTACAAGACATTCACAACTAAAACTTTGTCTTCAGAACAGTAATCAAACTAATATTAAAATTCTGCATTTGTACCTCCGTACATACTACAAAAGATAATGTTGCAGGTGTTTCCTTATACTTCCTCACCATAAGCAGAGGGGTTATCATAGTTGTTTATTTAAAAGAAGTATATAAGTGAAGTATTCTCTGGAGATTTTTCCATAGTGAGAGCCAGTCAGTAGATTCTTTGGTAATCTGATACATTTATAGAGCTGAGTAGTTTTCTAAGTTCATTAATTATATTATCTCTGCCAGAGTCTAAACACCTCTATAAAAGTAATGTGATAAGCATTGTCGTACTAAGTTTCTAGGTGAGGAAGCCAAAGCTCAGTAAGTTACGTAATGTTTTCAAAGTCATGGCCAAGAAATTTTGGAACAGCACAGAACAGCAATTAGTATTTAGTTTGGGTTCATACACATACATATATACATACATGGTTTCACACACATATATGTGTGTATACATACATATATACAGGAGTTAGATAACATATCTATATATACTTGTATATGCATATATATGTGTAATTATAAATATGTTTGTATGTGTATATGTATATATATCTCACACACACATAATACCTTACTACTCATAAAATTATTCTTTTGGGAGTTTCAAAAAATCACCTATAATAATAAATTTTGCTTCACATTTTTTCAAAGTTATTAACACAGGGTATTTCACATTTACGTACCTCACTTTTTTTAATTGAAGTATAGTTGATTTACAATGTTGTGTTAGTTTCTGGTGTACAACAAAGTGATTCAGTTATGCATGTATGTACATATTCTTTTCCATTGTGGCTTATTACAGGATATTGAATACAGTTCCCTGGATAAGTACCTCACTTCTTGAAAGTGATTATGGGGCTGAATAAAACAAACCAATGGATGCACTTCTTGGATATGATATTTAAATTTATCAATTCTGTCAGCAGAGTAAAATATCTGATTATTGTGAATATTAGATTTAAAAGTCAATGCTATTGTTAACAGGACAGTTAAAAGACACAGTGGGAACAGAAGGACAAATGTTTGCTGATCAAAAACTTTGCCTGGCTTCCTGCATACTTAAGGGACTTTATTCAGATTTAGACAATGTTACAATTTTTGCACTTCTCCTTACTGGGATTCTGTGGTGAAAGCATCCACATTAAATAGGCTGATAATAATTCCACTACTCGGGCAACATAATTTACTTTCCTAATTGAAAGTGACAACTACTGGCACATTGCCAATTCTTCCCATTCCAGCCTCCCAAGGATTTTCTCATCGTGAGTCATTTCACTCCACTGCTCGCTGTCTGCCTCCCCTAACCTCTCCTCCATGGCATTTCTCACCTCGCTGACATAAATGCCGGTGTCTTCTTCATCATCCGTTCGGTAACAGACTGTCAGGCCCAGCTTCTCTTGACTGTTAACACGACACAACTCGACCTCCTGAGAGAAAAACACACACAGAACGACATTTATCTCAGAGAGAAATCAAATCCCGCAGCAGGATGGAGAACTCACTGATATTCTCTAGGCCATCCTGGGAAGTCTTCATAATCATTGCCCAACATCTGAAATTAACCCATGTTACCAGAATCCTCACAATTTACTCTCAACATGTATATCTGTATATTCAGGCCAGTGTTTTAACTTTTCATTGTAAAGTTGGAGATGTGCAGTTTTTTTATATTAAATCATAAAACTTTACAAAACCACAAATGAAGTTTAAATAAAATATGTATAAATCAAAAATGTGGAATCAAGAAAATATTTGAGAATGTTAAAGTAGGTAGAAAAATGTTTATGAAACTACTGTGTTTTTATTTGTATTTTAATAAAGCAAAATTAAGTTCAAATAAAAAAAGACTAAACTGTACATCAATTCTTCTTTTGAGTTCTATTCAACATTATAATAAGCAAGAGTTCTGTGTAGCTCAGGCCAAGGTTTTCTCTTATCTTGTAGCAGCTCTCACCCTTGGAAAGAAATGGGTTCATCCAGGCTGTAGGGAGAGACATCAACAGTCATATGGGCAGAGGCAATGATTCAAAAATGTAGCAGTAAATGAACAAGGAAACACATTTACTGCAACACATGGCTAAGGGGCTTAAAATGTCAGTCCTTAGGTAATGTATATTGAATCTATTTCTTGATTTATATTCTGTAAAATAATAGTAAATTTCAGTGTATTTCATTTTTATATAATAAAATAGACTTGTACTACTCTCAGAAGCAGATGACTTTTAGAATAAATTGCATAATTCCAAGCACTGAAACACAAATTGGTGCTCTCATCATGGAGAATGTGTTCCTATTGGATGGAGCTTATAAGGCCCTTTAGTAAAGAATCAGATGAGGAAGAACAGAATAAATTTAAATTGGAAATGAAATCTAGACCATCTTTCTAAAACTCAGGCTTTGTGGGAGTTATTTGTCTGTCTTGCTTAATGCTCTCTCTCTTGTGCCTGGAACAGGGGACTGCTCAGTGTGGGGACTCAGTTAATGCTGGTTGAAGGGTGATGGCTTTTATTTCAAAATATATCCTAGTGTTTATAACTTTTTGTAAAACAATAATTAAATAATATTTCCTCTTTAACTGGAGGTAGATTTTGTGTGTGTGTGTGTGTGCGCACACGCGCACGTGTGTATGAATGAAGGGAATAAAGTTTGTTAATAAAGTATCCATTTAACTGTATATGATCTGAAATAGTTACCAGGACTAAATAAAGAGAAACTCACTTAATTTCAAACTAGAGGATATTTTCCTGTACACTATGCTACATTTGAAGAAGTATCTTCCCTTTTAACTTTGTATTTCAGTGAAGGTCTTGGCATTGGAAAATAACCATTTATTTTGGCGACGTACTATAAACCAAAGGTAAATCCTTAATGAGGATAGACTGTCATAAGCTCCAGTGACCAATAATTTCACAGCTAATAGCAAATAAAAGAAAATTTAAATCTTCTATCCTGAGACATGTACTGCAAATTGGTGAAGTACATGAAACCATGAAGAATGCTGACTTTACACCTGGTAGACAAAGATACTCTAAATTACACTACAGAGCTTAAAAAGGGCATGGTGTATGTTGAACAAGAAGAAAAAAAGTCTTTTCACCTAGAGGAAGAATAGCAAACAGTGACATGTTTTGGCACCAGAAGCAAAAAGTATACACCAATCAAGGGCATTTTCAAAATTGGCAACAATTAATGCCTCTAGAGGGAAAGAATACTTGACTAAAACTGTAACATTAGGAAGGAATTATAGCAACAAAAGAGCTTCTATTACAGCAATGAAGTATACAGTTAAGGAGTAAAGAAGCTTGTGATTCCTAAGAGGCCTACAAGGAAACCTAAACATCCCATACAAAATTGAGAGTGAGACCTTTAAATTAAAGCAAATGATCTGTATTCGGAGCTGAAATCCATTGACTTTCGATGTCCTTCCAATAGCACTGGAGAAAACACCCCATCCTGTGGGAAGTTGTTTCCAGAGGGAAGCATTCCTTTCGTGAGTGTTTTCTCTACACTCTCCATGCTGTACTATGGTTTGGTGTTTGTTTAGGAGATGCATATCTAAATATTTTGTGGTAAAATGGAACCAATCTATTAAAATAAAAAGGGTAGAACCACCCATACAACACCAATATCACCAAGAATCACGGGGAAACAGAAATCTGAGATCCTGAGGTCAAAATAACTCTTCAATCTTGTCATCTTATTGAACCTAAGCAAAACTGTGAAGCAGGTCTCAAAGTTACCCACAGCATCTTTGTTTTCAACATCACCCCTTCCCCTTTTAAGATACTGGGCATCCTCCTACTATTTCTTTTGCTTCCTGGATTTCCTAAGGCTGCCAACCTAGGAAGCCATTGGGATTTCAGGCTTGCCATCCTAATTATCTCCTAGAAAAACCTGGTATTTGGTGTAGTCTTCCATTCTCTCACAAGTAGCTCTTGAGATATAAAGATAATTGATAAATAAATGTTTCTTAAAGGGATCATCATTAGTAATTATTTAAAATGTGGCCCCATCCAGGGTTTGGTTCACACCAATAAAGATTGAAAATACAATTTTTATTACAAGCCTTAATTCAAAGGACTGAACTTATGGAAGTAAGATTCCAAGCTCCAGAGGAGGCGCAAGTGAGATTTCTCGGATCCCACAAACCACCGAGCACCAGCCCCAAGTGCGGACTTGCAATTCTTTCTTTGAAATAAATAATGTTTCAGGTACTACAGATTTCATATTGGTACACAAAAGCATACATTTTAGAATCAAAGTTTCTTTAATTCTATGACAAAATAACTTATAAGCAGCTACCTGTTGACAATTTTGTTTGTATGAGGTAAAGGAGGCTTTGTAAAGGCTACTTATATGAAAAGCATCCTCTAGCCCACGTTTAACTTAGTATTCCCTTCACACAAGTGCACACAAGCCTCTGACTTCTGAAGAAATAACCTTCTGGTAATAGAGAATGTTTTCCCTAACAACTTTCATACCTTTCCCTCTGTCATGAGGAAGCTGTTTGATGAAAAACATAAAAGTAAAATGCTACCTCTGTACATTTTCTCCGTGGAGACAATGCTTGGGTATCTACAAATCAAAGGCAAGCCCGCACGGATGGCACTGCTAACCGTCCATAAGTCATTTGTGACTGCAGTGGAAGAATCACTTCATATACCCGATGAAACCACGTTCATTTTGGCTTAATGTGCTTTAAGATGCTATGTTCTGGGACTATGTACAGTCCCTTAGAAAAATCAAATCACAGTATCTAATCCTGTGAGAAACTGATTACTGAGATTGAGAGTGGAGTAGGAGATTAAAGTTAGTAAAGTTTGCTGTGAGATATCCTTCAAATTATAGACAGAATGGGATTTTACATAAATTGGTTGCACTACAGTGCTGTGAATATTTTATATATTTTTTTATGATTGGGTCTAAGGTGGAACAAGGAACTTAAAAAGAAAATAAAACACACTTTTGCTTTTTAGATGGAATTCTCTTGCTGGAAGAAGAACTGAGGCTTGAAGCTGCCTGCAATCGTTTTTTAAGCAAATTGTTTCCACGCTCTAAAGAGCTCTTGAGGCCCATGGCATGAGTGAGAAAATTCAGAGGCAATCAGTCTACGCAAGTCAGAATGAAAACCAGGGCTAAACAAGATGTTCACTGATATCAACTGATAATCCCGAGAGAGGGGTCTATTGTGTCCATATCTTTCTTTTAATTTTATTTGTTGTTTGGTTTTTATTCATCAGACAACATAGCCATTACTACACAAGCTTAGTATTAATCATATGTCATTGTCTTAAATTTTGTAATGTTGATTAGTAACTAGTGAAATACCATGCTTAGTTGTTCCAACAAAACCTTTATTAAAAATGAATTAAGTAGGAAATATGAAAACTTTAACCCTCACAGCTAAGAGAAGCCTAGATACTCTACTGTGAAAATATTGCTTCAATTCCCTCTCTTTTGGATAGTGGAAATCAGGTATAAAACTCAGTAAAAAATAAACGACAAAACTCCTGGAATACCCAAATTGCTATGACTACAACGTTTCAGGCTTGGACACCCCAACTCCAAACATTCAAAACAAGTTACTGCAACTAATAAATAAATTACATTTTATAGAGACATTAGGGTAAAAGTGAAAGCACATGGTCCTGTCTTTACACTAACACCCCTAACCTCACCTCCTCACTCAACCACTTTCCCTTTTCAATGATATTGTTGTGAAATACAGGCAGTGTTTAATCCTATCCTATTCTTAGCGACTTTCTCTTTCTGAATCCTTTGAGAAATAAAACTGCCACATTTTTCTAGATCCAGGTTGTCTGCTTCTCACTGTGGACTCTGAATTGCCTTAGGAAGTCTTAAATTACCCATTTGAGGTTTGTGGGAATGTAATCAATTTTACAGCCTAACAAAGAAAAAGATGTTAATTTTGTTTATACTTTTAACTGGGGAAGGGAATGGATTCACGAGGCCAGTAATTAAGAGTCCATGTCAGGAATAGAAATGGGAAACCTAAAATCAAGGTGAGTGTGACAAGTGGTTTGTATTTTGTATGGTTACTTCTGCTGTGTCAACGAGAGAATCAGGCCAGCGGCATGGGCACCTGCCCTTTAATGGGCTTTCACTCAGTCCTGCTCTGTCTATATGAAAGAGCAAAGGCAGGGCAGGAAACCAGAAAAACGTGCTGTTTGCATCAGACATGTTTTTTTCTTCCTTCCTATTTTGATATTGTATCTTTTGAGAAAGCTGCACTTGTTTTTAAGTATTAGGATCATGTGGTTTACCTTTGTAAGAATCCAGAGTTTTTCACAGTTGACTCTTGAGATTTGAACAAAACATAAAATGATCCTTTAGTAGCTTACGAATGGCACTGCTAAACATCCACAATCATCTGTGTCTAGATTTTGTGATTTATATGTTAGTTGTG